AGTGTTAATTTGTGTTAATTTAAATCAAAAAATTTCAATTACCACCCTCTTTGCAGGTGTTTTGTCTCACATTTGCCTTCCTCAAAAGTTGATTGTTTACTATAGAGGATCAATCCTCTGGCTATTTAAGAGATGAATATGTAATACACATTCCACAGAATTAAGTCTTGGGAGCTCTTAGTTGTAACTAGAGTTAGAATCAACGTGCAGTTTTCAAATTTCCTACTCCAGTTTTGTGGCAGTGGAATTGCTAAGAGTGCAGCTCAAAACTATGGTGTGTCACAAGGAGACTTGTTCCAAAGGGCAGATTTAGGAAGTCAGAAGAAATAAAAAGAAGCATCTGGCACTGATAAAGCTCAGCACCATGAGAAGTGAGAAATGGCTTGGGAAATATTGGCTGACATCCTATTGCTTCAAAAAAATAAGCCACTACTAGAATAAGCCCATTTGGATCGATGGAAATTACAGAAGAGTTGACTCACCAAATCCCCATTCATTCAATGGGCCTACTCTAGTGCGACTTCTCATGCTAAGCAACAGAATTTCAGCCATTGTCTCCTAAGGAGGAATATGAGTTTCAACAAACCTGTTAAGGTCCAATTACATTCAATATTACTGTTATTACTTGTACTAGCACTACTATTATTCCTCAGTGTTGCTGATATGTGGGAGTCTAGCCTAAACATTAGGAGTCAAGTCCTAAAAATCTGTGGGTCAGATGACATGTTTGCAAAACCACTGATTTTTACGTTTCAGGAAGCAAATTTGCAAATTAGATGTTTACGTTTTAGGGAGCAAATTAGCCGCTATTGACAATTGTTTAAAATTATTTACTAAATATTTTGGAAACATTTCAGTTGCTGAACTTAGTATGAAGAAGGTTTTTGTTGCTGCTGCTGCTGTTATTAATTGCATTTATACTCCGTCTTTCCCCTGAAAGAGTGGTAAGGCTGAATATAAAATTTTGCCAAGTGTTGTCTGGGAATTTTATCTCCCAAAACTGGATACAGATTCATATTTGAGGCTGCAAGCCACTCAAGAGACATATCAAGCATTACAGAGTTACTGCAGAATCAGTGATCTGAATAGATAAACCAGTCAGAAGAAACAAGTTCAGAATGGTTGTTGTGGGGTTTTCAGGTTCTTTGGCCGTGTTCTGAGGGTTGTTCTTCCCAACGTTTCGCTAGTCTCTGTGGCCGGCATCTTCAGAGGACTGGAGTAGGAACTCTGTCCACTCTCTGTTGGATATATATTGGATATATTGTTGGATATATCAACAACATCACAGTGGGTGACATGGTCTTGCTCCATCAAACGAATGGCTTATATAGGACTTGTTACAAAGACAGTCCACCAGTGGAGATGGGAAGGTTTACAGTGCTGAAGTCAAAAAACAACAATGCAAGGGACAGCGAAGACTTCTATCAAGCCTACCACTGAAGCAGTGCTGCTTATATATTGTGAAGAGGAACACACCTATACATTGCTCCAGTGCAAGAGAAAATTGGACAACCATCTGTTAGATCTGCTTAGATTTGGATTCCTACCTTGAGTGGGACTTGGTTTTATAGGCCCCTTCCACTTCAATGGCTCTATGATTCTATACAATGCAGTCTTCTTTATTAATTAGTTAATATTGCATCAGTGTATTGGCAACCAATTGTATGAGTAGTGGGATCTACAATTTCTGGGTGAGGGATGTTTTGTTTCAACTGGCTATTCCACTATGTATTATGTTGTCCCACATTTTCCACTATAACTATTTCATCTTTCAAGTTCAGATGTGTCAACAACTGATAGGTCTTGGCTACTTCTGTCATGCAATTTTAAGTGGATTTGGAAGTACCTGATCTTCTCATTGCTTTTTAAACTCATTCTATTGTTCCTCTATAGCTGTTGATATTCAGTCTTTCAGTTAACCAGTTGTTGCTTCTGTCTAAAGTGTTAAACAAATGTGGTTGGGTAACAATCTGGCAGGCACCTAGCCTAACAAAGACTGAGGGCATGACAATGTTGCCATCCATATAAGAGAGACAATGTAGATCTAACTTTACAGTGGTGCCTCGCTTAACGATTGCCTCGTTTAGCGATGAATTCGCATAAC